TACAACACAGAAGTCACTAGTAAAGAGATTCGATTATCCTCATTCTTAGAATATTCAAGCAATATTTATTCACGCGTCAACATTTCTTCGTACAAAAACATATTTACGGTTGTTTTCTATGAACTGTTTGAAGTGTCGAATGGTTTCATTGATAACTTGAAATCATAACGAAACGAGTGCGTCGGTACGAAGGAAGATCGAATGAAATGGGAATAACTTTGCAATTAATCTCCGATCAATTGTTTAACATATGAAGAAAATTGGGCAAGGTTTAAAAAATGATATAGTTGGAAAATAGTACTGATGAGAGGAAATCGTTCGTAAAAGAATAGGATGAGAAAATGAAATTTGTCAAATTCGTTGCTCTTAAAGAATTGTCTACTCCTCGAGTTTCAATTAAACTTGAACTGTTGAAGAAGAAACGATATAAACTTTTGAGACTTATTAAAGGTATATTTCTTAATTACTATGCCAACAGTAGAGATGACTATCTTGAAAGGACACAAAGACAACGAATCGATATCTTTAGCGATTGAGTGAAGCGAATGAATTGTTTTTAGGGGGGATTATTTGCGAAGTATGTTCGGGAAAATCTGATGAGTGAATTGTTGTTTGCTGAGACGATGATTACTGCCTTAGGGCATGACAACGAACTTATTTCAAGTTTGGACTCTGATATTGCAATTGCATTCGTGACATATTGATTTTCTTGCTCTTTTACATTCAAATCTTATCTCGCAAAGAACTTCGACTTTCGGTTCACTTTAGAGGCACTCTTCCAACACGAACTCATCAGCAAAATTTACATTGTTGAAAACTGAAAAACAAACGCGGAATGCCGGGCAGAAGTCATTACCATTAGGTTGCAACGGACGTTGAAACAATGAACCGAATACCATACGTAAAACCTATGAAGATGTTTTAAGGGTTTTGAAGTAACGTTTTAATAGACGATGCATTCTACTCAAATTCATCTGAACAATGCAAAATTATACAATTATTCGGTGAAATTTTCTGCATTCAAATGAAGATTTCGTTATGTGAGTGTCATGCATGAATGTCTCATCCAATCATGCAGAAAATTTTTTCCGTTCCATCCCTCCGAAAGAGACTTCTTTCATGTCGAAGTTGACACAATTACGGCGACATTGCAGATCAGTTATCACGCTCAGCAGTTTTGTATGTTCGGTTGATAAGAGCAAAACGGCATCTCACATTCGCTCTTAAATGAGTAGTGTAGCTAGAGCACAACAAGCATTATTTGCAACGAGTCATCCGCAAGCTCAATAGGTTTTAAAAGTGATTTCGCGGGGTTTTACAATTAGTGACAGGTTCACAGCAATATAAATGCATTACGATAAGAAAAGCTGCTAAAACAACTTCATCTCGATGAAATGAGTTTGTAGGAGTGTGCAGAGTGGGTGTAGGGGCTGAATAAATTGGTAAAATAATTTTAAAGTATCGAACGAGTCAATCGTGTCTTCATGTTAATGAAGCATACTCGTAGTATTGGGCAGAGCTATTCTGGGTGCTGAATAGATTGCTGAAATAATTTTATGAGGTTAAAAAATGATTTCATACGAAAAGGAACTGGTGTTAATATTGTGCCGAGCAGTTTTCGGTGTCAAATAGTCTGCTAAAATAATTCGATTATACAATCAATTCAGAGTTTAAACAGTTAGACATGAGTTCAGTCGTGGATTCAATTAGTAATTACGCAGTTATCTAGTAGACTGACGATAAGTAATGCTTAAACTCTGATGAATACGACTACAGCTTGCCCCATCATAGTAACATATTCAAGAATCTACGAAAGCAAGCTAAAGAGATCTTTAGAACATCTAAGTTAGATTAGTGATATAGGGTCATATCTGGTGCTCGTTAGAGAGCAAATGTTTGACTCGTGGAGGGTTTTTAACGATTCCATTACCATAGGGCTATCAAAAAAGCCACGTTCAAACTAGCCCTATTCTCGGGTTTGCTCAGCAACTCTTTTCAAAATCGTCTTCATGAGGTTCTCTAGTTTCAGATAAATACGTATGTTGCCATGGAAAATTCTGTGTTAGTAAAGTGAATAGATAAAAGACTGCTAAGTGATGGATCTGTGTACATTTCAACGCCCTTGCTAGCTTCGATGCTAGTCAGCAGCACATGCATAGCAGGTAATAGGATGTTTGTAAGGGCAGTTTCATGATCATTCGAACATCGAAGTTGTAGTCAATTGTTGCTGGGCAAAGCTGAGAGTACCGTTAGCTTGAATTCATCTTAAGATGTTAACCCTTGTGGTGCTATAGCAATATACAGATTGATCAGTAGCAACACAATGTACATAAATGTATCAATATCCTTAATTGATATTCGAATCACCAACTTGTTAATTGAACGCATTTGTACGGAATCTGCAGTTTCTGGAGATGAATTGTTTTGTTCGGTGTCGGTCTTTTATAATTTTGAATTGATTTATTTCATGTTTCTTAAATCTTTGTTAGAATTATTATTATCACTATTATTACTATCATTTATTGTTACTATTATTACATAATGTTATTATTTATTAACATTATTTTTTAATTCCCCCCCCCCCCCCCCCNTGATACCCGCATCGGAATCATTAACATTCCCTGTTCCATCGTATCGTATTCAACCTTATCTGCGATTACGGTGCTATGGAACAAAAGTCGCTGAATTTCATGAATATTCTCACATAGACGAGCTGATCTCTAGGAAATTCGCGATGATCTTTAAACTGAGAACAGTTGCCGATAGCGTGTTTAATGCGCTTCAATAGTCACCTCAATGCATATGATTTGGAATGCTAGAATACTCCGTTTGGAATATCTCAAATAATTCGATTATTCCACGATCATTGCTCATTTTTCCATCGCAACGACAAATATTAACACTCTCTTCGCTCTAAACGTGAAAAACCGCTGAGCGCGTCGCTCTCTCTATATTCATGTTGATTTAGTTCACGCCCATTGTGCAATTCGTCCCGTCCCGTATCCTAGAAATGATTTTATTTTCTTTAAAATATTAATGTTTAGCAACATCGTTGTCATTTTTCATCTGTTTAACAACATTTTTTTTTCAGTTCACGGAATTGCTCATCCGTCTCGCCGAAATATTTTTACGGTCACCTTTGTTGAGTTGAGTTGTTTTCAGATGACACTGAAACGGTTAAGGAAGAAAGCTGAAAGCTCATCAGATGAGTTCGATGCAACGAACATTATCAAACAATCGAAAAGTGATTCGGAATCATCCTCAAATGATTCCGACGATTCCGATGAGGCGCCAATGCTTGTTGATCCTGATGCTGATGCACCTCCGAAGGTTGATTCATTTCATTCTTTGTTACTTTGTTTAAATCTTTTTTTAGAAAATTTTCAGTGTGGTAAATATCAAATTCTTTATAGGTAAGAAGATATACGATATAAAAAGAAATAGTATATTGAATAAGAAACACTTCAAGATCAGTTCGATATAATTCGACATAGTGAAAGGTATATGTTGAAAAGGGAACAAGAGTATTTACAGAAAGTGCCGACTGTGTCGACATGCAGTTTCATAAAACTCGACGTTTACGGTGTAAAATGAACGAATTTCTACTGACAGATTGAGGGATGTTTAAGGTTGAGAGAAAATGGACGAATCGTGAACGTGTATTAGTGTTT